CCCGCGGCAAAGCCCCCCAGCCCCGCCTGACCTGGCGGGGCGCCGCGCCGGGGCTCTCCATGCTGCGGGCGCGACCCGGGCGGTCTCCAGGACGCGGCGGGAAGGGGAGGAGCCCGGCGCCGCTTCCGGCATGGGGCGGAGACCTGCCCCTTGGAGCCGCCCGTGCTGTCAGAAACACGCGGGGCAACGGGCGCGCGCGTTTTCAGCCTGGCGCCTGGAAAGGCTGAGAGCCACGGCCCCGTCTCATGCTTGGGCTCTAGCAGGGGCAGCACAGAGTCGCAGAGAGGGGGGACGGGCAGGTCACTGAGTCCAACCCCCAGCTCGGGGCAGGACCAGCCCCATCTAAATCATCCCACCCAGGCCTTAAAAAAGTCCAAGGACGGACATTCCCACCCCTGCTCTGGGTAACCTGTTACAGTGCTTCACTGCCGTCCTCCTGAGAGAGTTTTTCCTCTTGCTGCAACTTGGGATCATTCCTCCTTGTTCTGCCATACACATAGTGGGTGCACGTGCCCCCCCTAACAGCCTTAGGCGATGGGCAGGGGGGAAGCCGTAAGCGCCGGTGTCGCCCCTGCAAGTGCCGGCTGGGGAGTGGGAGCGCTGGCTGAAGCACCATGGCCACTTCTTGGCCAGCGCGAGTGGCTGCAGGGAACCCCGGTCTGCTAGATTCTCCCCCGCAGTGGCTGACTGGTCTTGGAAACAGTGTCTGAAGTGAACACCAGCACAGCTGTACACATAAACAATTTAGCAACTTACTTAATGGACACCTGGGAGGAGAGTGGGCCGTGAACATGCTGCCCTCAGGCAGCTGTTTCTTCATGGCAGGGCAGATGGTAAATGACTGCCAGGTCACCCCACAGTCAGGAAGACAGGTAGTCCCTAGTGCGGTGATTCTCAGCCAGAGTGCTTCGGTCTTTGTATAGGAATCACCAAGTGAAACTACCCCTGACATCAACTGTTAAGCATCTCCTGAAATGTCATCTTTTAAATAGACAAAAACAGAATTCTCAAAAGCTCCCTAGGCTGTGTTCAAGAGAAACCAAGTCATATATTGCAAAAAGCAAGGTGTGAGAATTGACAAGACAGCCTGAAATCCTCATGGCTCATACCATCCTGTAATAACCATTTTAGTATAATAGCAGATTCAGAAAATGTTTCTCTCTTATTTCAAAATTTCACCCAGCATTTATGACAGCACAGTTACCCTAAAATTGCAGTTTAAATGAAAAATACATTCAGCAATGACTGATCTTTAAGAAACTACACTCAGAAGCCATACAACTTGGTTTTAACATGCATTGCTATTTTTGGTGAAGCAGTACGAGTGGCAGGATGGAAGGACCGTATGGCAGGGAGTGAAGGAATGCATGACAAAAGGCTCAAATCTCTTGGACTTAGCTTTAACTTTTGTCCTCCCTAACAAGAGGTGAATGACTAGTGCAACGCATATAATAGAGAGCTCAGAGCTATAAGCCCTTAAGCCACTTTTAAGATCAGTACTGGCCTTCCAGAACAGAACATACACATTTCCAAACAGCTGGGAGTAGCAAATACAGCTTTTGAAGGTTCATGTGTTTTGAAAATGCAAAAAATAAACTAGTAAAAAACTTACTTTTCTTCAGGTTACTTGAGTGACATTGGATCAGCACGTAATTTGGACACGTGAAAATCAGAACAGTGCAGAGGGCATGCAAATACAGATGATTTTACTGTATTATACTCTTGCATAAATTGGGCTATAAAAAGGATTCCTTTTTAAAGAGGCCATTTTTAAGCATCTGAAATGGACATCTATTCGTAAATAGAAGCATTATTAATAGCTATTTGCTTCTACTGGGCTAGAGTGGATTATGACCAAGGGGTAGGACAAGATGCATCCAGAAGGTGAGAAGCTGAAATTACCAGCAATTGCTATTCTTTTAATAGGGCACTGGTATGATGGCCTTCTTTGTCTTAGGCCAGAAGCACAAATCAGTTGTCCAGCATATTATCAGTATCTACAACTCATAGTTACTGATATATTGGGATAGGAAGGGCATGGGCAGCCCGTGTGGGGTATGCGGCATATTGGAGAATAGGCACACAGCATAGCTGCAGAGCATTAGATTAGGCAGGAAACATGGCAGGGAGCAGAAAGAGCAGCAGACTGAGTAGGGAGAAGAGAAGAATGGCACTCAAGGGTGAGTGGGGCTTAATTTGTGGCACACCTGCCAAAAAGTTTGGTCCCCACTGTGTTAGGATACTCCTCCAGGCAGAAGAACCAAGAGCCTAAGGCCTTGGTCCTACAAAAACTTTTGCGTGAAATGCTTCCGTGATTTGATTTCATTTACATTTGTAATGTTTCCAGGATCAGGTTCTTAATTTCCCCCTGCTTGCAGACTCTTAATTCTGCTCTTGTTGATTATTTCTACTTTGGTTAACCTGTTACAGAATAGATCATTATAGAGTTAATGGCATCAATCAGTTTTTGCTAAGCAGCAATAAATTAAACTATAAAAAAAAGTCATTTTACACATATATTATAGATGTGCAACTTCGTGGGTCATTTGTGGTGTTAATAGCATAGCCAGGTGAATGGTGGACCCAATGAATGTGGTCCAATGCATAGCCGGCCTTAAGAGAAATGGCACCCTGTTCTAACTTGTATTTTGGCACACTCATTTCCCCTGCCTTTTTCCTCAGCCCCACAAGTCAGTGCTGGTGCTCAATGTGAGCAGGGGCATGGGCAAATTCTGGCAGGGAGGCAGAGCAGCATGGTATACCGGGCAGGGAGGCACTGCTGTGCAGGAGCAGGCAGGCAAACTAGAGCAGTGTGCCCAGCCCATGTCGCCCACCCCTACGGCTCACTCTGATCCTGTGCTTCTAATTTCTAAAAGATAAAAACGAAAACAAAAACCTACAAAACTTGTTTGTGGACAAAAGTAGTCTGTACTGTACAGTAATACATTTATAAAATACTCTCCCCCCTGGCTCAGCAAAGGCAACCCACTTAAAAAAAAAAAAAAAGCTCAAAAACTGTTACTTATATCATTCCCCACGGTTTTAATTTTGGAATAAACAATGGTCATAAAAATCAGAAAGTCTCTAATAAAACAAAAAGAGGAGGGAGAGGCATCAGAGGCAATTTCTTTTTAACTCCATATGACCAGACCATATAAACACATGAAACAAAATAGATTTTTTTTTAATTCTTGTAACTGATGCACTACAATGATGCAACTTTTTGTACAAAATTGTTACTGCAACATGTAATACTTAAGAATTATGTATAAAACAGCATGATTACATTTGTAATAGTTTTTTTTCTCCCTAATCCTCATTCAAATCCCCACATACAAAGATATATTCTTGGAATCTTGACCTTGGGATCATTTTTGAGGTAAAATATAAGCTGTAATCTGTGAAGATGCCGCTTCTCAGAATTATGTTTGAAAGTCTGAGCATATCCATGTTGCAGGGACCCATTGGGGCTCATCTTGTGCACGACAGACTGCAGACAGCAACTGTACACAGGCCTCTTGTAAGCTGTCATTCACAACCACTTGATCAAAAAACTGGCCAAACTGAGCTTCCATTTTCTTAGCCGAATCTTCCATCTCCTCTAAATCCTCCTCCTGTAAGAGGCAGTACATACTGATAAAGTACCACTAATAGAGCAGCGCCCTCACCTGTGGCTCTTGAGCAACACTGTGCCTGTGAGACACTGCTCTCATCTACAGGAAATTTTGCTTTCTACAGCAACATGTTCCTGCAGGTTGACAAAGCAAAGTGTGCTGCTGCCTGTAACACATTACTTGCTTAGTTTTATTGCTCATGTATCTGTTGGCAACCCCTAACATGACACATTTGGATATTAAACACCCACATTTTTTCCTGTACCATACACCCCCAAATAAGACACTTACTTTGTTTTGGGGAAGGTGGAATGAACAACAACAAAAAATTTTTTCCAGGCATTATGGCCACATAGAGCAGGAACAGAACCTAATCTTGAGCTTACTCTCCCTTTCCTGCTTAGACAAAAGCAAGTTTTATCCCTTTCACAGCTCAGCTGTTTGCAGCTCTTAGCGGCTCAGACTAAAGCTAAAATGGCAACCGATGATGACTAGACAACATGGGTAGATCTAGGATTTTGAAAAGAGCTCAAAAGAGTACAGGGCTGTGAAATAGGAGAGATCAGGAGTAGCCAACTTATAGCAAAATTGCTGAAGAAAGGATAGCTTGACTGTGAACATCAAGATCATTAAAAAAGGAGAGAGAGAGTTAATACACATGTACTGAAGAGCAACTATGTAGGTTATGAGTCATGACTTAAATCAAATTCATCAGCACTGCTTGAATAGAAATGCAACTGCTGCTGCTAGGCAGGTAGCTTCCAATTTTGGGTGGAACAGGAATCACAGCGGACTGTGACCCCACCCATGCACTCTGTGGATCTGCTCCTGCTAGAGACTCTTCCCCTCTGTCCATACAGATGTTGCAAGGAAGAGAAGGAAAAGTAGCAGCAGCTGTCATATTACAGAATCTCCACGCTGCCATTCTGGACAGAAATTCATCTCTCCTTGCTTAAGATGCTCACCAATTTTGGAAGGCTGATTTCTGGGGGCAAGGTGAGTGTATATGTGAGTAAATATGGTAGGTTTATCATAGGTTTCCTCATCTATAATTTTTAAAATTGAAGAGCAAGTTCATGGTTGGAAGATAGTAATTAGTAGCCACGAGATCTGGTTTCAGTTCCTTACTTTGCCACTGACTTGGTCAAATCACTTACAGGTGGGGAGCTGAGGCACATACAAAGCAAAAAGAGGATACTACTTTTTT